GAAACTTAAAATATGTAAAGACGGAGGTATACAATAAAAATAATTTAGTGCCGTTAAAAGTTAATTTCGAATTTTTTATTTATATTAGACCGCCTCTGAAATAATAACCTATCTACTAAAAAAAGAATTTTCAAATTGGTTCAGCCGTTTCCGAGAAATCGGTGAACATTAAAAAAGCATACGCGTCAAATATAGACCTTTCTCATTTTTGGAATTTGGTTACAAGTTAAAATGTATGTTTGACCATAAATTAGCTGCAGAAACTAAACACATTTAGTAAGGAAACTGTACAACATGTTATAACAATAAAAATATCTATGGTAAAGTGTTCCGTTTAAAAAACAACTAATTAAGTTTTGAACAAATGTTGGCACCGCTTGGAATTTCAATCCACTTAACAGTCACAGTCATCAAGCCACTCAGTTGTCATACATATAAAAACAGAAAGAAAAAACATTTGCGTCCCAAATATTTTGTCGCTAACATTTGCGGCGCTCCGCTTGAAATGCGTAATACAAACATACGCATGTAAATAGAGGCTAAAACTAACGAAAAACAAAATTGGACTCGACATTTTTTGCTATATGATACTGCCTACATTATTACGTTTGTTTATGTTTTTCACTAGCGTTATTTATACTGTAAAAAAAGGTGAAACTTTATAAAGTTATTAAGAATTTAAGCCGCAGAATTTTTATTTTATTTATATCCTCTACAACGAATTTCAGTCACGGCAGCAAGTCTATACGGAGACTAGCCACCTGCGCAGAACAGGACAATAGTGTCCCTATGCACTCTCTTTTCCCTCACTCCAATACTCTGATGGGACGGAAAACCGACACCACCGGGCAGTGGATCAGGCGCAGGACCTAAGGTTAACGTGCTTTTTGAAGCACCGGGGTGAAACATCGCCATATTTCTAATGCTGCACTAGTACTGACAGAAAAACTAACTTATTTCGACACGACCCGGGCTTCGAACTCGGGACCTTGTGATCAGAAAGCTTGTGTATCAAGGTCTGAAGAGTATAGAGAGCCAGTGTAATTACAGGCTGCAAGACATTCCATCGCATCCATAGATACACACACATAGAGGGGACAAATAAGCTAACGGCTCACCTGATGGTAAGTGATTACCGCCGCCCATGAGCAACTGCAAGACCAAGGGAATTGCAGATGCGTTGCCGGCCTTTTAAAAAGGAGTAGGCTATTTTCTTGAAGGTCCCCAAATCGTATTGGTCCGGCAAAATCTCTGTTGGAAGTCGATTCCACAAATAAATTGTGCGAGGAAGAAAAACTTCTTTTAAATCGCACAGTGGTTTTATTTAAAAAAAAATCTAAAAAGAAAATTTACCAGTATACGGAGCGTCAACATTTTAGTCGATGCATTCAAGCGGGGCTCATGAAACATTCATCGACTAGATTCTTGGCGAAATGTACGCTACGTATTCGTTCTTGGGTAGTCAAGGCACAGCTTTATTGTTTATCGTAGAAAATCTTTCCATAGCGAAATAAAATGTTAAACACATGAGTTTGTTCGCTCTGTTTTTTTTACGCAAAGCGCGTAGGTATGTTCTACTAGCGCCCAAAAATCAAACATCCAACGTTTTGTCGCATGAAATTGTATCTAATAATCATATTGAACATATAAATAATATAAAGGGCACAATGTCAAAAAATAAAATTACTATTGAACTTATTTTTTTTAATTAATTAAATTTTTACGTTAAAAATTGGTTTTAGTGGCTCATGGCGTAGATTTATCAAGTCCGAATGGTGGGGTAAACACGATAACTTATGAAAATATCAATTGTTCAAAAAAATTGTACAAAAAAGATTGTATCAAAAAAATCGAATGGAACTGCGAAGATAAGGTTATTTGTGAAAACTTGCGTGTATTTAAAATACTTTAAAAAGTTGACGTATAACATGAGCGCTTAAAGCATGCACGTTTGGTTTTTTTTAAGGTTATCTCCACACTAGGAATTTCTACTTCCCTAACACCATTCAAGAGAAAATCCTACAGCAGTCTTATTCTCCAGTACCATGGAAGCAGTTTATATATATTAATTTCACAAGAACAAACACCCGGAACTATTACTCGCAGGCCATACAAATACTTGTTTTGTGCGGGATTCGAACCACCGGTCCTTAGCTTTGCAACTCATTGCTAAGCCACTGCGCCACTCAGACAATAATTTGAATTTTTTCACCGGTTGGTCGCATCTAATTAAATTTATTTCAAAATTCATATAACGTTACAGTTACAGTACTGAACGTAGGCCTCTCTATAAATTAGCTCATGGGGGGATATTTGTAATACTTGCCATGTTTGGCAGGCGGGTTCGAAACTGCAGTTTTTTATTTTTTAGTTATCATTAGAAAGACACTCTTTCCCATATATGAACCTATATATATATATATATATATATATATATATATATATATATATATATATATATATATATATATATATAACGATTTAATTACATTTTAATTTTTACAAATTAAAATGTAATTAAATCGTTATATTAAATTACATTAAAAAGAATGATCCTTACAATATGTTGTACTTGGTACACGCTATATCCCGAAAGAAATAGACCGTCGTAGGACGATGGCGATGATGTATTTTTTTTACTACTCAAAGCCAGCCCTTACTACAATCCCAACTGATAGTAAGTGACCGAAGCTTACTGACTGACTTAACAAAAGCTTATTCACTCTTGCCTTGAAGACTCCCACGTTGTAGTCTAATAGAAAGACAGATGCTGTCAACTTATTCCATTCCTTCGCTGTACGAATGACGAACGATGAATCAAACCGGTCGGTTCGAATGCGTGGTATGTCGTCAACAAAAGAGTCGAAACTGACCGAGTGTCTCGTTTCCCGATGGTGAAAACAGAAATTAAATTATGCGATTCCTGATTTTATTATCAATTTATGTTCAACTTGGGAACGTATAAACGTCTCTGTTTTCTATATATCACTGTTTATATATTATATATAGCAGTTCTATATAGTTATTTCAACGCGATAGTAAACTATGAAGTTAACTTTAAATTGGATATAAAATAATAACTTTTGCACACCCCTTTCGTTAATGAAAATGTCATTAGCATAGTCCGGTAACCTTCAGAGGCAGACGGCTGGGTCATTGGTTATTCACAACACATTTTGTAAAGTTACACTTTAAATTAACCGGTTTTATGAAAATTTACTTTTAAACTCAATTTGTAAATATAAAATTAGCTTACGAATAATGTTTTACTACGCGATTGCTACTAAAATATTTAATTAACAAATGTTAAAAAATTATAGTACATAGCCCTACCTAAACACAGCTCTTCTGGTGGTAAGTAGATGTTATGGTCCAAACACACTTGCATATATTCTAAATTATTCATCAAAATACAGATGCTTTGTCCCTGAAGACTATGATAGATGCCTCGTTGCCATTTACTACGTGGTAAAGCGATGCTGCAGCTATATTATGGTTAATCTATACTATTATCTATATCTATTGCAGTAAAGCTATGGTATTATCAAACGAGCACACAGTCCACCTGATGGTAAAGAGGTGTGCTGCACCAAAGACATCTACAGCTATCCTCGATTAAGAATAAAAATTCTGATGCGTTATCCCTAAAGATTAAGATGGAATGCCTCGTTTACGGTAAAAAGGGTCTCCGGTCCTCTACTCTCACCATATCGCTGGTATTCTGTAAGAGCGTGGTTAGAGGTCTGAGGAGCGTGGAGCTAATCCATACCCGATTAAAACTGAAGGTTACCAAAGGAAACCCAAGCTGGATTTACTAAGATACCAAAAGTACATCAAACTGTTTATTTTCCGTTTATCTCCATAGGTGTTAAAAAGCACGTATAATATCAATTTACGCTCCTATGAGTTTGGACCATGTAGTGATGGTGTAGAAATATCCAAGGTCCCATATCACCCTACATGTGTGAAAGACGGAAATGAACCTATATATTAACGATTTAATTACATTTTCTTCACTACCATATAAAACCAACCAAGAAAACGGCCATAAGACCAATCTATGATTTAATACCTAAAGAGTCGTTCAGGCAAAAATTTAAGTAAATTAATAAATTAAATTTGTACTCTCAATACATTTATGAAACAACACGTATATACACGTTATTACGTACACAACTTTTTGTAAAATTTAAAATTTTGTACAGCCGACTTCAATACGACCGAACCAATGTATTCGAAGTCAATTAAATACGCATTACTAAAGATAACTCAAAAACGAGAAAACTTACGAGTTAAACGCACAAAAAACATACAGTCGAATTGAATACCTCCTCCTCTTTTTGAATAAAAGTAGTTTTACAAAAATAAATGATATTCATTCTGTAAATACAGACACAAGCTAGTAGTAGGGGAGACTGGGGCTGGTAGTGACAGGGGTAGGTAGTTACAGGGGCAACGGTGGCTAATCTGAGAACGCTGTATTGTGAGAAAGATACAAATGATCACGCGACCATCGGCTAGCACGCCGCGCGAACCTGTGGCGCCAGGGCTTTTGTGATGTCGCCTCTACACGTTGGCCAACACAGTGGCGAATGTAGTGGCGAATATATTGGCCGAGAGTTGGTGACGGCGTCCACACGTTGGAACGTCGTTCAGTTTACTTCGGTTCGGGCCAATGTGCGGACGAATTTATTTTATTTTATGGCGCCTCTACACGTTGGCCAACACAGTGGCGAATGTAGTGGCCAATGGCATTGGCCAACGTGTAGACGGGGTGTTTGGGCTTCATTGGTATGTATTAGAACGATGGCCCGCAATTTGGCGCGAGATCCGTGTGGTGTCGGTTTTTTACAAAAGATCAAAGGACTGTTGGCAGAGTTTGGTCGCCGCGTCCACACGTTGGCCGCCCGTTTAGTTTGCTACAAGCTCCCAGAGTGATTACACGCATCTGATTTAAATTTTATATTTAAGCTTTGTAGGGTGGATGCCCCAATTACCAGCCTTTTAGTGCCAATTTTAACTTTAAACATTCCTACTACCTTAATTAGCGCGATTTAATTATTATTGAACATTTGTTTTAATCAGTAAGCTATTTATCAAAAAAAAAATGAACGTTTTTTTACAATCAGATTATTACGAAAACAATTTTGAAATGAAAAAAAATGAAGCACGTCGTTTATACGTGGTAGAACCATGCAATTATATTAGAAGTATAGTTGCAGCACGAAGGTCGGCTCGACCGGGGGAAGGACCACGCTCTCACAAAATATCAGCGTAAAATAGTAGCTTAATGATGCTGTGTTTCGTATAGTGAGTGTAGAGAACCAGAGACCCTTTTTAAAGGAAACGAGGCATTTCATCTTAGTCCTCACGGGTGCCAACGCATCTGCATTTTGATTCGTAAACGAGGATAGATGTAGATATGTCTGTGGGCCACAGTAACCACTTACCATCAGGTGAACTGTGTGCTCGTTTGTCACCCTATCCTATAAAAAACGTCGATTTCTTATAATTTAATCGTGCAAGATTTCGAAATCATCATCATTACAGCTGTTCACAAGTCCACTACTGAACATCCTCCTCCACAAACTGCCGCAAAGCGTGGTCCTGAGCCACATTGCTCGTCATGAGTTTTTCATTTATGTTCTAAGTTATAATTAGTACCTATTATTAAGTCAGTGTTAATTATATTTATTGCTATTGTTTTTGTCTTTCTCAAAAAATAATTAAATTACCAAATAAATTATAAGGTGTTTTTTATATACATCAAATGTCTGATAGAAATGCAAGTACATATTTTGCTAAACTTTAAAATCAAAACCCAATTTTAAAACATAGACTAATCAATTATAACTCCTTTAACTTTAAAATAAGTCAAGTTATTATTAATGGTATTTATTCCAGTTTATGATGCATGTAAAGAATAAATAAAGCTAATCGTATATCGTATATCTATTTACAGCCCCATTAATATCCACTATTATTTTATAATTCTTTTATAAAAACGTTAACCCCACACTAGGATTTTCTCCCGTATCGCGCAGGCAGTTTACAAACATAAATTGCACAAGGACACACATCCAGACCCGAAACAATTATTTGTAGGACATACAAATACTTGTTCCGTGCGGGATCAAACCCGCGGCCCCGGCGCTGCCACTCATTGCTGAGCCACTGCGCCACGGTATAAATTATAAGAAATCGACATTTTTTATAGGATAGGGTGACAAACGAGCACACAGTTCACCTGATGGTAAGTGGTTACTGTGGCCCACAGACATATCTACATCTATCCTCGTTTACGAATCAAAAGGCAGATGCGTTGTCACCCGTGAGGACTAAGATGAAATGCCTCGTTTCCTTCAAAAAGGGTCTCTGGTTCTCTACACTCACTATACGAAACACAGCATCATTAAGCTACTATTTTACGCTAATATTCTGTGAGAGCGTGGTCCTTCCCCGGTCGAGCCCACCTTCGTGCTGCAACTATACTTCTAATTTAATTGCATGGTTCTACCACGTATAAACGACGTGCTTCATTTTTTTTTCATTTTAAAATTGTTCTCGTAATAATCTGATTGTAAAAAAACTTTCATTTTTTTTCGATAAATAGCTTATTGATTAAAACAAATGTTTAGTAATAACTAAATCGCGCTAATTAAAGTAGTAGGAATGTTTAAAGTTGAAATTGGCACTAAAAGTCTGGTAATTGCGGCATCCACCCTACAAAGCTTGAATATAAAATTTAAATCAGACG